TGAGAAAATTCAACTACTAGTCACTTTTCGCCTTAAACGAAATGTGAGGGATCATTTACTTCTTTCTCTCTAAAATCTACATATAAACCAAAATTATTAATTTATTTACTGAGTGTATGTTGAGCGAAGCAGTAATTAATATTTATTTGTTGACCCCTTTATGCGTGAGGACTTGAGTTGACCTCTTCTTCCATCTTGTAGGAATTAAATTAAAGAATTTGGCTAAGATGGCTCTTTGATGCCCATAGAGTAATACAAGTCTGTCTTTTAAAATGTTTTAAACGTTATGATAGCACTCCTGGATCCTCTGACCCTAAGAGACACCACTCTTTAAATAAAGTTTATGAAATTCTTCACCATGTCTCCATTCCGACGTTAAGTGAAACCAATAATGTGGGAAGGGACAAGCTATTTAAGTTTAAAAATATTAATATAAAGCCCTGACGTGGTCTGGCCAGCATCCTGACTTCGGACGACTTTTAAAAACTCAAGAGTATGCTTGACAAGAAATCACGTAGGATTTCTGAGTTAATAACCAAAAGACACGACAATAAATTGCTTAGGTATGGAATTTGAAGACAATGTAGGTTAAAGCCCTCGTACCCAGTTAGAGGGGTTTCCATGACAGCGACACCTACTGATCAGTACGACGAACGGAACATGCTGGTGAATTTATCCTCGCTTGCTCTTCATCCTGGAACGACTAAGATCCGGAAGGAAGATCTTTACTTTTCTCTTCAAAATAACAGAAATCTTCTAGAAGACATTCTGGTGGAGGTGATCAACAAAACGGAAAATGGAGATGGAACTACTCCATAGAATCTTGACACATCATGAACAGATTTGCGAGGGTACGAAGAACCCTAGAAAGGAATGAACGATTGGTCTTTCAGATTGATGAATGCATTAAGTTCACAATGGAAGTATAAGAAGAGGGGCGTCTACCTTTCCTGGATGTTGCAGTCATTCGATCTGTTCCTGAAGAAGTCAAATGCCAAGATAATGCTCACATTTTAGTCTCATTATAATTACAGGCTGAAGGTAGGAATACTGAGGAGAATGATCATCAGAAGCCTGATATTAGGGTATGTTGAATTCTGCGATTGAGATTTGGACAAATTGACTCAGATATCCCTCGGCAACGGTTACCCAAGCTAAGTAATATAACAAATATAGAATAACAATACTTAATGACGATGCAGGCGAAATGTCTGATAATTCTACCAAATCCACGATCCGACGTTTGGAAAGAGGATAACTACTATAGTTGAGGACTTCAGACCAGATGCGTCCAACTAAGTCGCCCTGACAACACGACCAAATTGCTATAAAATAGGTCAGCCTATTTCACGTTTGCAAGCACTTGAGCATGCATGGGAGTCATAAAATACACTCAAACAGTGATTTACTTACAACGGATTTGACTCGCTTGCCATTATGCTATGTTGTATTCTGTTGTAAAGGCAACTGCAATATCAGCTAAACTTTTGGGAATGGACACTGATATAGCGGAAAAATAATGCATAAACATCAAAGATAGATTGGAGAAAAAAATAGGTAAACAAGCCTATGCTATACCTGCAATTTGGATCATTAATGCATTATCGAGTAAGCTAACCTCCGATTATACTATTGCTTCCTATTGGCACATGAGAATCCAATTTTATTATTTGCATAATTACCGCCAATGGAGTTTAAAAACGTATATTAGGTGGTAATAGCGAGGGTCCGATAATTTGATCGGACCAGAATTTTCTTGCCTCTTCATTTGAGTGGTAAAATCTTATTGTTCTAGCGTGATTTTTTTCTTATTCAAGGCTTAGTGATTATTTTAAAAACTTATTCTTGCTGAGTTTTACTAATGCTCTTAATTTAAGTGATAAATACATTATTGCTTTATCGACATTCGCACTAAACTGTAGTTTAGCATTGGCTTAGCCTGCCATTAAAGTCACATCTGCACTTTGACATGCGATCATTTGCAGCTGTCTATCATCGAGGTAGCATTGCGCTATATTACTTACAAACCGGCCTCGAATTTCCTTGGGACAGCTAATGAGACTTGAACGATGTCAAAACTGCAGTTCAAGCAGGATGGGTAATTACTTTCTTGAGGCTTCACGATAAGTGATGAAGTGATTAGATGCTCCCAGAAACTCCCCTCATCGCAAATTGTATTTTCCTATTTGTTTCTTATTTCAACCTTTTCACTTTTTATAAATGTCTTGATCTGGTTTTCCCAACTTGGTGATAATATCGGCTTGGAAAGGCGCATCCTGTCCGAAGTCCTCTGCCGAGGTGTTTTTGTATTGGTCGTCCTGACAACACAATTGAGCTGCAAAAACGAGGTCAAACCACGTCTATACAGCCAAAGGAGACTGTGACCAATGTAGAGGCCACATGATCCTCTTTTGTTACCTGCTTTGAGCTTTTTGTTTCTTTTCTCTACCTCTTCTTTTATGATCTCTTCTTGAAGGCTGAGGTGATGGCATATCTGGGTCGAGTGGAGGAAGCTGAACGGCTGCTTTTAAGCATCGATCGCAGCGACCTTGCTATGCAACTGCGACACCGATTTGGCGATTGGTTTCGGCTTGCTCAGTTGGCAAGAGATTCGGCCGCTGGGGCTCTGGTAATGCGGGATAAAGAACTTGCCGAGCTGCACAAAGCCATCGGATTTCACTTCGCAGATCGCATGCAATGGTGAGAATAACAAGTAGAAAGAGTAGAAAAAATGGAGTGTAGTTGGGCTTGATAAAAATGCGTTTGTCCAAGATTAAACGCTTGATTTGGATGGTGCAAGGACGATTTCAACTATTCTCGTAACTTGGGCAAAGTCGTTCTTTTGTGTAAGATTTTATGTTGTCATGACCTGTTTAGACTTTTTTCACTTCACCGTCAACAGCTTAACTATCTTTTAGCATCCGATACATCTCTTGGAATCATTTATTTTCAGAATTTAAGTTATTATAGAAGCCTTGGTAGCTCAATTTTGCTTTAAGGTCGAACAAGTGAATAGGAAATGCGTAGTGTAAGAATAAATAAAGCTGTCAGAAATCCACATTTAAAACAAAGCTGGCAAAGGTCATTTCTGCACACAAAAGCATGATTGTTGTGTTGCCTCAGATCTTTGCAAATGTACATTATTGTCATGCCTTGTCTTCACACAATAGCTGAACTACTGGTGCATCCTCGCCATAACTTACCAAGCGAGCCGGCCATGCTCAGACCCATGCCATAAACATTCCAAATCGAGCATGGCGGATCAAACAGTTTACATTTATCGTCACAGCAAGCTACTTTTTATTTTTAAATAGTCTTTTACTTGACATATCTTGATGTGGATGGCTCATTTCTCAATCCAAAACGAGTTGATGACGATAATTAGGCATGTTTCACCTTAGGATTCGCTTCGAGGGGCAAGTTCCTCGATTCTATGAAGACCTCTCTTCCATTTATTGTAATTAGCCAGCATTTGGGATCAAAATATACATCTGCATTATCATATAAGTTCAGAATAGTCCGCTTTCTCACATGAGCCGTCGTATACAGGCTTATTTCTACTATAAGTAAGGCTTATATCATTAACTTGTAATGTCTCAGATATTTTCTTAACAATTAAGCTATATTTACCAATTTTATCTTTATGAACCTCCTAAATTTACATTTTGAACTTCTAAGAATTATGCTAATACTGCCATTCCATCTGAAAACTTGCGCTTAATCGCCTTAGAGACGAAAAAGTTAATAGTGAT